TCATTAGTTTCTGATTTTTTAAATGTGGTTTATGTTAAGTCAGCTGCTGGTCTCACCAATTGCCAAGGAAGAGAAGAAAGAAGACGAGAAGGAGATATATTCTCCAGCTCAATGCCGGCAACAGAAATGAATGGTTTAATTCTGTGTCCAAGAGGCGGAACAAGAGAAAACTTTTTGTTATACAAATCCTCATAAAGAGGATTGAAAACACAGTTAAATGCAGGATTCGACTCGTTAGAATAGAGTTTGGTAATATATTGTAAAGATAATTTTTAACGGCGTTGGGTAAGAGAAGGCTCATCTGCCTCAACATAGAGACTATCAACTGGAGAAGTTCTAAATGATCCAAGACAAAGTCTTAGACCTTGGTGGTGAACAGAATCAAGTAGTTTAAGGTTGCTTTTGCAGGCTCCGTCATATACGATCGAGCCATAGTCAAGTTTAGATCGCACCAATGATCTATATAAGTGAAGGAGGGTAGTTTGATCCCCTCCCCACTTTGAATTGGACACAACCTTTAACAAATCGAGTGCCTTCAGGCAATTAGCTTTAAGGTATTTAATATGTGGCAGGAATGTTAAATGGGAATCGAAAATTATGCCCGAGAATTTGGCCTCCTTTACAACTTTGATGGGAGTGCCATTTAAAGATAGTTCTGGGTCCTTACGAGGCTTATATTTTCTACAGAAGTGTAGACAATTAGTTTTTGACTTTTAAAGCCGTTTTCAAGACACCATTTATTTATTTTATTTAAACATATCTGCAGTTGCCGTTCAATAGTATGAATATTCTTACCGCTAAAAGAAATATTAAAATCATCCACAAAAAGTGATCCATTAATTGAATCGTTTAAAACCTTGGATAAACTGTTGATCTTGATGCTAAATAAAGTGACAGACAAAATACTGCCTTGTGGGACACCCTGATTCTGATTGTAATGGTCAGACAGGGTAGAACCCACTCGGACTTGAAATTGTCTGTTGGTTAAAAACTGTGATATAAAAAGAGGCAAACGGCCTCTCAAAACAAAATCATGTAAATCCTTCAAAATGCCATGCTTCCAGGTCGTATCATAAGCTTTCTCAAGATCAAAGAAAATTGATACAAGATGTTGTTTATTTACTAATAGCATTTTGAACAAAGGATTCTAAACGTACCAAATGATCAATGGTATTACGATTTTTCCTGAAACCACATTGAATATTTGTTATAAGGTTATTGGCTTCAAGATACCAAGTTAATCTATAATTCAATATACGTTCCATGGTTTTACAGACACAACTAGTTAGAGATATCGGTATGTAATTCGACGGATCTGTATGATCCCTGCCAGGTTTTGGCATTGGGACTACAATGGCATTACGCCACGAAGGAGGAAATTCTCCAGACGTCCATATTTGGTCAAATATATCCAAACGTGTCATCAGACATGGTTCAGGTAAGTGTTTCAGTAGCTGGTAATGTATATTATCATCACCTGCTGCTGTGTCATGAGCTTGCTCAAGAGTAGTTTGTAGCTCATGTAATGAAAACACTTCGTTATAATCTTCACCGTTATTTGACTCGAAATTAAGTTTTGTCTTTTTCGGTTGTTTCTGATATCTCTGAAACTCAGGGACATAATTTGCCGATGAAGAATTTTTGGCCAGAGTTTCGCCAATTTTATTTGCAATTTTAGACTTGTCAGTAATTAAATTATCATCATCTTTAAGATGGTGAACAGCAGATTTTGAACCTTTGCCTTTAATTCTTTGAACCATGTACCATACCTTAGACATTGGCTTGCGTGAATTAATTTTTGAGACATAATTTCTCCAAGATTGTCGTTTGTTTTGTTTAAATGTACGACGTGCCTTTGCATTGAGTATTTGAAATTTATTTAAGTTATGGACAGTTGGATGATGGTGGAAATAACGCTCTGCCATTTTCCTCGCTTTTCTGGCTTGGCCACAATCTGTATTAAACCATGGTTTTCGTACATTGAGGAGTCGTAAAGGACTTTGGTATTCACTCATCAGCTTTTTCATTTTAAACGTCAGCAAAAGTTTGAATGGGATCAGATATATCACTAAAACATTCAGGTTGCAGTTTCGATTTACATATAGTTTGATATATAGACCAGTTAGCCTTCGAAAAGTTCCATCTGGTATGCGGTGGAGAATCAGATGGAGTTATTTCTGAAAGGATAGTTGGGAAGTGGTCACTTCCACAAAGGTCATTATGAACAGACCAATCAAATTGATTCAGTAGGTTAGAATCTACAAGAGACAAATCCAGCGAAGAATAAGTGCCAGTTGCAGGATGCAGATATGTGCTTGAATCATCATTAATGTGCACAGGTCATTATTGGAAATTATATCTTCAAGCATTTTGCCTTCAGTGTTAGTGTTAGTACTGCCCCAGAGTGGGTTGTGACCGTTTAGGTCCCCCATGATAACACATGGTTTCGGGAGTTCATCATAGAGTGAGTATAGATCAGTCTGTTAAAGTGCCGATGAAGGCGGAATATACAGAGAGCATAATGTAAATGCTACACCCAGAGTAAGTCGCACTGCCACAGCTTGGAGATTAGGGTTAAGTGTAACAGGGCTGTGAATAACATCCTGTCGTGTAAGGATAGTAGAACCTCCAGTGGCTCTATCACCTGGAGAGGGAAAATAATGATAGGCTTCAAACTGACGTCAGCTAAAATTATCTGTCTGTTTCAGATACGTCTCTTGCAGACAGAACGCTGATAGTGTTAAATCCTGGATCAATAGCTGTATTTCATTAAAGTTTGTCCGTAGTCCTCTACAGTTCCACTGCACGATATGTTTAGATAGACCTATCTTTTAGGTGGATTAATAGTAGGGGTGTCACGATACACCAATCTCACGATACGATACGTATCACGATTTTAAGGTCACGATACGATACGTATCGCGATACATAATTTTCGCGCCTTTTCATAGCATTACCTTATCGGCAACGTACGCGCTCGCTGATTGGCCCATCAAAATAGTCTAGCCAATTAGAAAAGCTTTTAGTTTCCAACCTATTTTTTAAGTAAAGCTAGCTACATCTATTTATCGGAGCGATCTCGTATAATTTTACTATCTAGACTTTGAAGGAGATGGATATAGCATAAAAATTTGAATCGATAAAGTTTTAAAATAGGAATCGATACACGCAAGCATGTATCGCGTATCGTATCGTCAGTAAAATGTATCGATGCATCGGTACATTCTCGTATCGCGACACCCCTAATTAAGCTATGTGCCCTAGAATGGACATTTTTGGACACGTCCATATCCTCAAGTGATCCGTATTTGTTAAATAGCTCAAATATATCATCATGATGCCGAGACAAGTGACAACATGTTTCTAAATAATTTTTAAAATTTGTACAGAAAATTTACATGTACAGGGCTTAGCATAACCAGCCGATTCATAGAATCGCGCCAGTTCTAACACCCGTCTAGGTGAAGTAAGGGACGGAACCAGTGCCCTCAACCACCTGACTCCCGTCCTCCACCGACACAGGGGCGCAACCCACTGCAAACGGGTTGGTGGACCAAACATAACCCGGGGCCACAACGGGGGGTTGAAGAGCGCTTAGCGTTACCCAGCACCCACCACGAGGAGGTGGCTCTTCACGGGTGCCAGAGTGCCAAAAGCAAAAGAAGAAGCTTAACGCAGTTTACGTATATATTTAGACGAAACAGAACTTCAGAGTGTAAAACTCAGTATTGCAGACTAGGAATAAACATAAAAGTTTATGTAGACAGTGGAACGTAAATACCAATATCACAAAACCAATAAACTATATTTGGCAAGGAACAATTCTTCTGTACGTTGGAGGCAGCTGAGAAGAATTTCAAAGTTAAAATCCTATATGAATTACATAACTAAAGAAAGATGGCACGATCATTTTATGAAAGTCTTTGAATGATATTTAGAAGCGATACACATAAGGAAGAGTTTTTTATGGATGTCAACTTCATTATTATGAGGAACACAACGTTCGGAGTACATCCTTACTCCTTCATCACCTTCATTTCTTATTTTTTATGAACTTTTTTAATAGGAGAAATATAACTGAACCAGATGTACTACTCAATTTGGACCAATGGGTGAAGTTAATAAGGAGATGCTTGAATTCATTATACAGAATAAGAAATTCATAAGGCTATGGCGCATATGAAAAAATGGTAAATCTCCAGGTATTAATAACGTCCTTATAGAAATGATTAAAACAAGCGAATCTTAAACAATGCCCTTCTTAGAGGCAATGTTCAATCAAATATTTTCAAATGTTCTTTTTCCACAAATGTGGAATAAAGCAATCATAGTTTCTTTGCACAAAAAGGGTGATTAAATAATCTCTATAATTTCCTAGGGATATCTGTCTTCAGCTCACTCGGGAAAATATATGCTGGAGTTTTATATGAAACACAAACAAAATGGGCACATGTTATGGATACAGTTTCTGAAACTCAAGCTAGTTTACAGAAGGGTTATTCAGTTGGTGACCACATCTTAACATTGTATGCTATCAGCGAGAAAAATCTGTGTAGAAGAAGGATATACGGTGCGTTCATTGATTTTAAAAAACCTTTTGATTTTGTAAATAGAGATAAACTCTGGAAATTGTTCTCATCATATGTAAGGTGTCGTACCTGGAAGTAGACATTTGTTATTACAGTAAAAATCCTTTGATGTTCGGCCGAGGTAGATACATGTTGTTTTAAAGGATTAATGAGATGGGTGACACTAAAACTTGAACTGGTGAGTGAACTCGGAGTTCACTAATTAGTGATATGAACTCACTAGTTCTAACTATGAACATAGTTGCTGATATGAACTCACTAGTTAAATGACAAATAACACAATTATGATTATTTGATTGATATCAACTCACAAATTAACTATATTATTTAAGAAAATTTAGATTGATTGATATAAACTCACACTGGGTATATATCATGGTAATTCCACCAAGAATCTATCACTGTCAAAAAATGGCAAACCAGCAGTTAGACTATAAGTTTCTCCCGACTTCACGTGGTGGACGTTATCTAGTTGTTGAAGGCTTTGTGTTTCGATTGAATCGAAGACGCAACGATGCTTCATGGGCATCTTGGAGATGCCAGGAGAAGACATGTGCTGCGACTGTCTCTACTGTGAACGACATCATCACCAAGCATCCCAGCCCACATAACCATGGACCTGTCCATAATGAGATAAAGGTATGTTGTGCGTAAATGTGTCTATAAATTATAATATTAAAATGGTATAAAGCTCTGCTACATTTGTTCATTATTTGCACAATTTTAGACAAATGTGCTCGAAAAGCACTTCATTAGATTTATGCAGCCATAACATTACATTAATTTCGGTTATATCTTATTTACAGGTCAGAGAGACACTGGACAGGATGAAGATGGTGGCCAAGTCATCTCTGGGTCCGATACCGACGCTGTACAACGAGGTTCTGGCCTCAGTGAGCGATGGTCCTTGGACGGAAGAGAACAGGTCGTTCATCGCAGAAATGCCGACGTACGACACCGTCAAGAACAGACTGTACCAGGCCCGAAGATCCACCTTCCCACCCATCCCATCTTCCCGACGAGAAATCGTGATCCCAGACGAGTTCAAAACAACCAACGCTGGCGAGCCCTTTGTCATCATCAACGATGGCGACGACGATAAGATCCTTGGCATGACGACAACGGTGAACATGCAACATCTTTGTGCTGCCGAAGTTGTGTATGGTGACGGAACCTTTTATGTCTCACCATCACTCTTCCTGCAGCTGTACACTCTCCATGCTATGGTTGGTGGTCAGATGTTTCCGCTGGTCTTCTTCTTGCTGCCAGACAAGGCGACTGTTACTTACGACCGCGCCTTCCGTCTCCTGAAGGAAGCAGTGGAAGCAAGAGGACTTCAGATGTCACCTCAACACATCCAGGTAAATTGATTTACATAACTCTTAATAAATGATAGTCAGTATTCATGTAGTTATTCATTATTATTAATTATATAATTTCCACATTTTAAACATTCCAGATGGACTTCGAATCTGCAGCGAAGAATGCCGTCTCCGTCAACTTCCCGACGACGCTGTGGAGGGGGTGTCTATTCCACTACTTCTGTGGAAGAAGACACAAGGGGTTGGCCTTCAGGGCGCCTACAACCACGACGAAGACATCACCCGCTTCGTAAGGCGTGCTGCTGTACTGCCTTTGGTGCCCGTGACAGATGTAAGTATTGCATTGCATTGCGCCTGAATTGGAATCGGATTTTATTATTATAAATCATATATTACTATGCTTAAACTATGTCATTCATTTTGTGTACTTCGCGGCTGATGATCAATAATCACAAATTATGTATTCATAAAATAATCTTGTGCTTCCAGGTAGACGACGTGTGGCTGAACGCACTTGCAGACATGCCTGACGACCCTCGCTGCCTCCGTCTCGCCGACTACGTGACCACCCAGTGGGTGGAAGGACATATACCCCAGACAGCGTGGAACCACTACCAGAACACCGGTCCAAGAACCAATAACCACCTGGAAGGTTGGCATGGTCGCCTTAAGAAAATTATTTCTAAGGCTCACCCCAATGTCTTCGAGATGTTGTCTTTCCTCAGGAAAGAGCAGAAACTGAACGAAATCAAGCTTGTTCAGTACGCTGCTGGGAGGAAACCGCCACCAAAAAGGAGGAAGTACATCCATGTCAACTCAAGACTAGAGACTCTGAAGCAAGAACTCCGAGATGGTGCCATGAGTGTCATGGTTTACGCTGATGCCGTGTCGCATCTAATGAAGTTACAGTGAACTGACATTTAGTGTGTGACTTTGAAGTGTGATGCAGTAGACCTAGTGCTAAGTACTGAATGCAATGTTAATCATGCTTTGTGTATATTATTATTTAATTTATGTATGTAATATTAATGTAAATGAACTAATAAAATAAAATAGTGATACCTGATACTTGTACATGACAGTGTTGACAATATCATTTTTGTGATATTTGTGTATATTTATTGAACTTTATTGTATACATATGACTTATGAAATAAAAGTAAGAACGAAACTATGCTATGTATTTTGTTTTTTACCTTGGGAATGGTTTGTGGATGTATTCCATCTATTTACCAGTTAACATTTTTTGTATGACCCATGTGGTTGAAATAACATAGAACCTCCATTGTTCTCTGGAGGCAGTGGACTTGAAAATCCTTACATGCTCCACTGGTTTGTTGTTTTAAACATCACAAATGTCTACTTCCAGGTATGTAACCTGGTGTAAACGGTAGCATGTTTACTCTTTTTGAGCACATATGAAACTGTGAAAGCGTGTGTCAGAGTACAATCCGGGTTAACGGAACATTTTAATTGTCTGTTTGGTTTACGGTAGGGATGTATGTTGAGTCCAATGTTATCCTCATTATTGATAAATGAACATTCTGTAGGGTACCACACATGGGCGTCTGAGATCCGCCATATACGTTGCTCACACGGACTTGGATTTGGATTTGTCCGGTTTCCACAAGCCGCCGGTGATCAGTGTGCTTTTATTCACATTTTTATAGAACGCTTGATCAACATGTTTTACCAAAATTGGACATCTACTCTTGAAACCAGTTCACGTTATAAGTTCTTTACAGAATATAAGAGTCTTCTTGAGCCAGAGGGGTATCCGTCTTCCTATTTGGAATACAAATTCAGTAAAGTATTGATCAAATCCAGAAGTGGTGTGTTACGTCTAAAGAATAACGTAGGAAGGTGACACAATATTGATGTATCTCTACTTGTCCTGTATGTAAAGTAGATTTAGAAGATGAACATCACTTTTTGTTGAAATGTCCAGCTTGTAAAGAACTTCGGGGTAGATTTAAGTTAATATGAGATCGTTAGCAATACCCACAAACAAAACAAGCCTAAAGACATTAACAATCTAGCTCGTTTTATATATTATGCATACAAAATTATGGAAAAGTTAGAAAAATATTAAAATTTTAAAAATTCTAGTAAAACAACACATATATATGTTAATGGTATATGTCACTGGGGATGTAAGATAATCTATGCAGGTAGACAGGTATATGCTATGAATTTTAAGAAATTGTCTCCTTTTCCGTTCACGCCTTCATACCTGCTTGGAATATGTATATTGATATGTATATCGGCCTGTGGCTTTCATACGTAATAAAGATTTGATAATGATGAACGCATTTGAATATTTAACTTTGTACACTACTATCACACATGACAAACTTAGGGATAATTCCTTGGTCCATGGGGTATTTGTAGTAAACCGTGGTGAGCGTTGATATAGGTATATATCTATCTTCAAAGGTCAAGGACAATTGGTCAAAAATGAAAGCAAAGGTCGGTCAACTGAGGTTTTACTCAGTATCTGATATGTTTGTTTCTTTTCTTTTTAACACCGCACTCACAGCTATATCATATATCTGTAAATAATCGAGCCTGGACCAGACAATGAAGTGATCAACAGCATGAGCATTGATCGCCACAATTGGGATACGATGACAGGTGTCAATCAAGACAAGCCTGACCACCCGACCCCGTTCGTCGCCCTAACGACACGCATGGGTTGCTGAAGATATATTCTAACCTGGACCTGCATAGGTTCAATATCTGAATTGCTGTAGTTCCCATCAACGTACAAGCCGGGGTAAACATTTACACAAGAAATAGACATCCCATGGGCACCATGATTGTGCTACCCTCCTTGCCCATCCGTTTCTTTATGCTTATGAGTCCGAGCTCGGGTTGGCAAAGCCCAAACATTGTAATTTGGTCTCCTAATCGTCATCGTTAAATATTTATGTGAACATTTTGGAGATAAACATACTGTGTTGGAAAGTCAGGGGTATATAACGTGATTATATACCTCTGAATGACTTCAATTTACCAATCACAATTCAGTATTTACTGATGTCATTGTCATTTAAATACAGTCCCTGTGTGTCCAAATGAGAACGATGAATCGCAAAATAGCTCAAAGTCTGGAACAGTCTATTTAATGTCAATACGTTACACAGCAAAGAATACCCTGTACCTAACAATGTTTGCTATTTGTTATTTGTTAACCCTTCACTGGACACGTTGTTTTAGAAACTATCCTGTTGATATGTGTACAAGTTGACATCTTTCTCGGAGGGGCACAATAGAAGGAGGGTCAGCGCAAACACACATTGCGAGAGTTTGTCACATTCCATCGTTTTAATATAAGTCTTTACCTGATATTTAAGTCCAATAGAAATACTGTGAAATGTACAATAGAAACAGAAATACCAACCACAAGGTTTAATTTGCTAAACTGTTGCTACATTTTGCTAAACAATTGCATACGCATCTGGTTGAGCAGTTTTCAGGGAGTTTAGATTCTGCTAAAAAATTGAACTCGATCTCACTCAGTCTGAGTAGGAATAACATCATTTTCACGTGATCATTTCGCAAATGAATCTCGGGCCTTGTAATGAAACAGGGCAGGGAGTGTCTGCTCTCTGAGATATGTCAGGGCTGAATTGTATTTCGGAGTAGGTACCGAAACAGTTTGTTCCATTGGTCGTCTCGATAGCACTAAAAAAGAAAACACATGCTTCTTTTGTAAGTTCCTTACGCAGCAGTCGTCTATAATAGGAGGGGTAGTCTCTCGTTTGAATTTGTCATGGTCCACGCTCATAAACAGGTGCCCTTGTGGACGTCCACCTGGATTAACCTTGGACGCCTCAGGATCCTTCATAACCCACTTTATGATTTATTCATGTTCATAGACGGGCATAGAATAACAATATGAGCACATATAACTGCAATAATAACCTTGAAAAAGATTTAAAATAAAAGTCGTTTGTCCGCATATGGTAACATGGTGGACGTGTTGGTAAAAGGAGCTCTGTAACAGATTTGCTTGTACGAATCTTGCATTTGATGTTCAGCTGATCATCGATAAACACGTGCAATTATGATAATTTACCAGCCGATTACAAATCCTTGCTTTCTGCATAGTGACAACCTCACTTGCATTCTCGATTCTACACCATCTGTGGTTCGCACCTCGAGCAATATTTCGAGACTAGTGATACATCTGCAAGAGACATATCTTTTACCGCCATGTTAACCTCTGGATAAGGTCTTACAGAATGGAGTTTTCCATCCTCATCTAGATCTTGCTATGCTCGCATCCCTAGACTACATCGCTGGAGGCACTCCTTCAACAGTTACTTCTGCTTGAGTAAGCTTAGGGTTGGAGGATAGCTCTGACTCTCTTGAATATGCTGCCGAGGGATCTTCGAACATCGAAATACCCTTTAACGATCTAGCAGGCACGTTCAGTTTGATGTTCCATAGTATATCACTTTTGTCCTGGAGATCATGGGATGGCGAAGCAAACGATGATACAAAATGGCTGAACCTACAGTATACAGGTTACGAATCTGTCTTCATGTTTCCGGATCTGTTACCTTGTCATACATTGTGACATATTTGTGTTAAGGAAATGGTTAACTTCATTCCTGGCTTCAAGTACCCTATTATATCCATTATATGTATGTTCCAACCCATCACCCAGAGATACGTGGAAGAAGGGCATGTGACTCTCCAGTAACCCAAAGTCAAGTGGAACAGAGACTTGGTTATCTTATGCATCACATATAACATTATCTATCGTGACTGTACTATATACACAAGCAGAACATACGCGCGTCTCGATGGATTCCGATTAGAATTTGAATAAATAACTTTATAGTGTAAGTCACCCGTTTGCGCCGTCTTCCAGAGATCCATATAACAGTAGAATACATGACGATGATAAATATTCACGACATCATTGTCACTGATTTTAATTAGGGTTTTCTTTACAATTGCACTGCCTTTGTTCTGAACAAGCTCCCTGTTACCGTTGGAACTCAAACTAATTAAAAAGGAAGACGAGAAATTCCTGAAATGTGTCTGATTCTGATTGATGGCACTGGCTGTTATAGTCAGCTGCTAATGAATATTTCCATGCCTTAAAGACGATATGCGATATGTCGCTCTAATCAGTATTCACTATGCTTTGTTTGCAGAGACTCGTAAGCGCCTCTACAGACAATAATTTTATTTACTCTCGTACTCAGAGAATCCTGGCATCGTCTTCTTAGGCGGACGTGGCTCAGGTGCCACATGCTACAGAGGCTGCAAATACACTTTTGAAATTCTGACTGCCACTAATGAATCAGCATCTTTGTTGTGCAGCTATAGAGAATTACTTAGATAAGACAAGCACTATCAACTTTTATTCTGGCTTTAAGTACTGTTAGTAGCTCTGGTCCAACACATACACCACTCCGGACTAATAACGATGGTGTAAATAGAAGCGACAAAACCCTTTCCCAATTTATGAAATCTCTGCCAAAAGCAGAGCCGATTGTACAATTGTGACTATATCATGAGCAGATTGTTGTTTCAGCATTATTACAACTGTATGATGTTGTTTGTAAACAAATCGGGTCTGAACCAGACAATCCAGTGATTGTCACCATGCGATACGATGACAGAGCATGTGTTTATGAATCACTATGAAATAGTGATGATACCAGGTGTTCGCGAAAAGGTGAGCATATCCTGCCCCACCGGTGGTACCCGTCATAAACATATGCTAAGTCTAGTCATTTGTTCACCTGAAATATTTCGGGAACGTATGATATAAGTCAAAATAGGGAATTACATCGGACATCATTGTTGCCACTGCATCACATTTCTCCTCATGTCTTCTTGAAAGCTACACTTGAAGTCATCAGGAGAAACTGCAGGAAAGTTTACAGGGA